ACTCAAAACGTGCTTTAGGGCATTTTTAAGAGGTTTTCAGTATTTGTGGAATTCCTCCAAGTTTTAGTAACTTTTTTACATTAACTGCATGTCACCATGCAGTATCGACTCTAAAGTTATAGCTACAGTAACAGTAAATGTTTCAAAAGCGTTCAGTTTTCTAGTTTGACAGGACGGAAATAATCCACGATTTTTTACATATTATGTCTGACACTGCATGTACTGCTATCAAGTTAAAATATACATAAGAACATGGAAATGAGATTTTCCCTATGAAAATAAATAATACTCGCACATGATACAGAGTTTTAGATTCCGAGCGCAATAATGACGAAAGCCAGTAGCACTACTAGGTTTCGTGGTTTGCTAAATTAGCCTAAATAAGATCAGTATTGCTTTAGTTGCCAAAAGCCAAAATTGTTTGTCAGTTTACAAATACCAAACATAAGTTTGATATTAGAATCATGTTGCATGAACTGTTGACATCACCTCAGGAATATTTATCGAAGAAAATATGACTGTATCGAGCAATGTCAATGCCAGTACCTTGGTCTAGAGAAAATAATGGCCAAAGTTAAAAATTGAATGCCTATGTCATAAGCAGCAAAACTAGTATATCATCCTTCTTAGTGTATTTAGATAGTAACAAAGTCTGATTTGATTGCATGTTTCGGAGCGAATGTTAGATACCACCCCCTATCGCGTTATTTTATACTGTACTTTCGGCACACAACAGTATATAATTGCTTTCTATTTAGAGTTTCTTTATTCAATATCTACAGTAAAGACACATTTTTTATCATAAAACTACTGTAGTAACTTTAACCAACTGCATCTAGTTACTGTAAGATGGCAACATGAACTTTTACTTGCCGAAATACTTGACACAAGAAAATAGCTTGTGAGATACGATGAAGAGAAACTTATACATATCCAAAACAATAAAAATGTGCTCTAGCCTCTACATAAATGAACTGTAGTCTACGTAGTCGTTGGAAAACACTACTGCAATAGTCGTCAATCGTGAAAAGAGTGGGGATGGTACAAAGCCCGTCTAGCGCCGCTTTCTCTGCACAACAAGGCAAGCGAGTAGAAATTTGAGCTGGTTTATAGCTGACCTAGGAATTGTTTTTCTCTTTAGTTGGTGGACGTCTGGAAAACGAGTTAGCATATACGAAAACATATGGTTATGATTACAAATCTTATGAAGTAATAATTCAGACACCGAAAACTGAAGGAACAAATGTGTTGACTGCAGAAGCTTTGTTAAGGCATGCTGAAGCGGTGAAGAAAGCCATGAAAGTCGAGGTGGAAGTGTTGGAACAGTAAGCTCTATTTGACTTAAAATATTGCAAATATAAATAATTTTATACCTTTGTACAATCCCGGAATTTTAATAATAATAATAATATATATATATATATATATATATATATATATATATATATATATATATATATATATATATATATATATTTTATATATATATATATATATATATATATATATATATTATATATATATATATATTTCGGACTGCTCCTTCTAATAAAACGGTTTTAGGCTTATTTTAAAGCCTGTTCATTTATCTTTCGAACAAATGGTCATCCGTGTCTTTACTCTTTAGTGCAAGTAATAACTGCACAGGAGAAAATTTAGTAAAACCTATCATGTTTAGATGCCGCTTAATTATACAAATTTACTGTGTTATTCCATAGTCGGTTGCAATGTTTGAATTTTCTTGTTCAAACTTTAATGTTCTTGTTGTCACATCGGAAAAACTAGTAAGAACTTGTTAAAAACATTCTAAAAGAGATTAGGTTGTTTTATTTATTTCAAAATCCTAAATTATTTCCAGAAATCATCAAAACAACCTTACGTCCATGCATCGTCCGAACGAGCACCATCGAATCGGGCCGTAATGTAAATATAAATTAGCAAGTTGACGGCAAGCTAAAACACGCTTCAGCCGGTATTATAACGCATTTGAAGTCAGCAAGTGAATTTAAAATAGTGTATTGGAAGCCATTATTACTTGATTTTTACAAGCAATTGCCAAAATGCCTCAATTTGCTCGTTTTCTTGACAAAATAAGTTATTTTCATCAAGTACCGGTTTGTTATTGCATCTCAAATTTTTGACTCTCCAATCGCAATCTCTTAAAATATTATTATTCACGAACTTCTGGATTATATTTACGAAACAACCCACCGTTGAAAAGCTGAATGTCTAAGCTTTTAAAAACTTAGCAAGCTTTGTTTGGCATATTTATTACTATACAGTTTCGTACCACGTAAATAGCGAGTGCCACGTTATTTACGTGGTACGAAACTGTATAGTAATAAATATGCCAAACAAAGCTTGCTAAGTTGGGTTTTTTTTCGTCTTTCTATTATGCTCTGGTTATCCATTGGCATTGAGCACTCTATCATTGGTTTTTATAACCCAACACAAACTATTTTATATATATATATATATATATATATATATATATATATATATATATATATATATATATATATATATAAATCAAATATTATGGAAAAAGGTGAAAGTTCTAGAAGAAAAATTACAGTAAGTTCTAGTAATCTGTAAAGGTGAAGAAATACGAACAACAAAATTCCTTCAACTTATAACAAAAGCTGATTTCCATGCAAATATAATTTTATTTGAAGTAGACTATTCTAACTAGCATGCGTTGGAATCAGTTTTTGTTGACTAATTTCATTGTTGTTCTGATTAGGCCTACTTCATATTAGGAAGTGGTGGAAATGGGCAGGATCATATTTAATAGCATAGATGGTTTGGAAACTCATTATGTATGTTAGTCAACGTACTGAAACTCATTATCTATGTTAGTCAACGTTTATTCATAAACATGGTCGTTAACCGTCACGTGTGTATCGTGTTCTTGCCAAATCCACCAATAGCAATTTTCAATTTACCCTATTGTTCGAGTCACGGATAGGTAACTTTCCTAAGACATTGCTATTGGTTAGTTGGGCAAAAATACGATACGCACATGACGGTGAACGACCAGATTTATGAATAAACGTTGACTAACATAGATAATGAGTTATACTGTATTGTTATTCTAATGAGTTTCCAAACCATCTATTCTATTAACTATGGCAGGATAAAGACACATGACATGCATGCATGTGCTGAGGTTCAGTACGTGTTCAATGTCAGTTTACGCCCAGCCACTGGTTTCTAAGTCTAAGGACTAAGGTCGAAGTGTTTGATTTATCATCAATGTGTAAGAAGAGTTTAAAATGGGAGGGGTGAAGGCATGATCCAACACTCTCAAATAGTATAGATGTTAAATCTCCAGGATAATATTAATGACTTGTACAGTCGTGCTCTCCCTTGGCCTTGATAATAAAATCCCAGTAATAAAGAAGTAAAGACAGTACATGGGGTTCAGACCTGCCAACATCCGTCGCGTGTTATCCGATTTTTTAGCAAATCTCCAGATCACCTGATAGAAGTTCATGTCTACCCATTTTTAATGAGTTTTCAACTAAAAAATACATGCGCACAAATGTATATTTTCCTAACAATGACGTTTTTTGGCCTATTCATTTTAAATCCCCGTTCAAACGAATCCAACATCGTCCAACATCTGATGATTTGGAAAATCTCCAGATTTGGATTCGGAAAATCCCCAGATTTTGACCACTTTCCATAAATCACTTTCAAAGACTTTGATTAAATTTTTATTTGTTGTTTTGTAGGACATGGTCGGTGCAAGATATATGTAGCAAGCCAGCGGTGCCGAAGTTCAACATGCTGATGGATAAGGTCAGTCTTTCTTTCAACAATCAGTGTAAATTTAATGTGGACGAGATCTACATTTCTTCTTTTGAAAGCTTTCTTCTTTTAAAAGATGAAAGAAACCTGCATGAAAGTTTATTGCATTGTTATTGTTATTGTTATTGAAACTAAAAGTGTGTAAATATCAAGATTTTTTGTGGCATCTCACTCGAATGAATACTATTTAATCGGTGTTGTAGATGGAAATTGCCGAGTGGAAATTTTTATAAACATTTATTAATGTAGGCCTTACCAGGAATAGAAGAGAAAAATTCAACTTTAGGTCCCTGACAGGAATTAAACCTGCGGCCCTGCAATTCCGGTGCAGCGCTCTAACCAACTGAGCTGCAGAGAGTCGGTTGTCGAGCTCTAACAACAAGTTTATGTATATATACTAGGGTACTGTCATGTACTGTACAGTATAGGTTATGGGTAAATATCAAGATTTTGTTGGCATCTCACTCGAATGAATAATATTTGATGGGTAAAACTGTATGTCCTTTTAATTATTGTGTAAACTAAACCCATATGAAGCGTCCATAACTGAGAAAGGATTTCAATTGAGAATTTAAATAACTTTGTTTTCTATAGATGCTTGAACAAATTATCCCTTGCACCGTTATTACACCTTTGGATTGCTTTTGGGATGGAGCGAAAATTTACACACAGAACATAACCACTGCCATGTAAGTACATTGATATCACCTCAGTTCAATTGTAGTGTGTGTTTGGATAAAATCTTAGTTCAAGTTAATTACTGTAGATGTCAAATTTAGAAACGTTTAACTTACTTAACTTTTCCGGGTTGAAAAATCTGAATGCGTAATTGTGAATGTATAATTTATGACACTTAATTTGCTGGCGAAGGAATGTAGTCCCGGAGCAGCCCCTCTCTATAGGATACAAATTTTCACACTGATATTCCAATTTTCTACTAGCTTTTACAATTATTATTTATGTTCTTTTTTATTAATAATTTATGCGCGTATCTTTTTATAGAAGCAATAAAACGATCCACTGGACAACTTTTGATCCTTTGAACTTTATTAATGATCTTCCTGATTTTGCAAAGAAAAATTTGGATACGAGTAAAATGGACTCGATGTTGGCTGAGGTATGGAAATTTCTCGTTTTAGTATAACGGTTTACACATCTTTCATTCCATCTCCATTCAAAACATTTTATTTTACAGTACGTTTTCCTACAGTAGTTCTCGATCAAAACATTATGTTCTGACACTCATCTAAACTACTTGTTCATCAGGCATAATCACAATTAGCCTGTCTTTGTTTCTATACAAGTAACAACGTGTTTCTGCCTAGGCTGGAATTAGTCACGGTTATCTAAACAGACCATGTCTGGATCCAAAGGACCCTCGGTGTCCGAATTCAGCACCAAATAAGGCCAGCAAAAAGGTAGCAATATGCTGTTATTTACTTGGTTAATGGTTAATTAACGTTTTATTAATTTCGTTTTTACTTTGTTACTTGTTTTCAACTTGTTTTGTTGTATTTACCCAATATTTACATCTGTCGTAGATACCAGATATAGGCAAGGAGCTTACTGGCGGCTGCAAAGGTTTCGCTGAAAAAATGATGATCTGGCCCGAAGATCTCATAGTTGGAGGAACTAGAAGAAATAGAAGTGGTTTCATCAGAAGGTACAGTACTCTACCATGGAATGCCATGGTTTTGAATGCTAGCTTACAGTAAATGTTCGTGCTCTCTCTTGCTCTCTCCATTGTTTGAGGGATAAAAACATTCAGGAGATGAATTGAAATAAATTAAAAGCACCAAAGAAAACATCTTTTAAAACTCAACATATGAGTCAAACTCAACATTTACACACAGAGTCACTGTAAAAAATCTTCAAAAAATCTTCAAAATTTCTCTTGTTTTTATCAACTCAAACGATGTTTTTCGTTGATTATTTATTTTATATTTTTAAACAATCGGCTGGTTATGGTTTTACATAACATTTACGACCAGGCAGAATAAAATGGTAAATAATTAAATAATATGGCTTCATAACAAATACATTTTACTGTTCATTTTACAGTGCTGAAGCCATACAAACCGTCATTAATTTAATGAGCGAAGAAGAAGTGTATTATTGGTGGAAGGAAAGCAATGGATTTACTAAAGTTCAACATTTAGGAATAGGGTGGAATGTTGAGGCCGCGAAGAAAGTTCTTAACGCTTGGCAAAGAAAGTTTGTTCAAGTAAGATTACGTACTTTTTACTTTTTTTCCGTACAGTTTTTCAGGAAGTTCAGACACACACCACGACAGTTTATTAGGAAAACATAACAGACTAAACTTTTCCTTATATTGTTCCAGGTTGTGAATGAATTGTCTGAACCTGTGCACACCAAGCAAAACATTATGGCCTTTTCAACTACTTCTTTCAATGACCTACTGAGAAACTTTTCTTCACCAAATCAAGCTCTGATCATTGGTGGATATGTTCTTATGGTACTTTTCTACTTTTCAACTATATCAATTAAATGATCATAATTTATATACTGTAGCTTCACGTGTATGTGTGCGCGTACAATATAAATGCAGTATATTTTGACGTACCTAATATTTGGTTCTCTTCACAGATTGTGTATGCCTGTTTTACCATGATACGTTGGAACAGTGTTGTCCAATCACAAGGCTGTATGGGCATTGTCGGTGTACTACTGGTGTCCTTATCTGTAGCATCTGGTCTTGGTTTATGTTCATTTGCTGGTATCAGTTTTAACGCTGCAACAACGCAAGTCTTGCCATTTATTTCCTTGGGCCTTGGAGTAGATGATATGTTCTTATTGTCGCATACATATAGAGATCTCTACAGTAAAAACTTGAGATCTAAGGTATGTAGTAGAAATTGAGCATATATTTAGTAATTGCATGCTCATTATATTTCATCTACTATATTTATTGTGTCGTGAGGTCCACAACTGTAGTCTCACATTGGTTTAACCGTTTTTACGAAGGATAAAAAATCACGTCTGGTGGACAGCGCTATCCAGCCTTCGGCTTCGTACAGTACAAACGTCGAAAGGATAACATATACAATGTATACAATTTTAAATTTTGTTATATTGTAGTTTAAAAAAAATATATTTGAATTCCTTTCATTAGGAGTACGCTGGATACTGTTTGAGTACAACAGGAGTCAGTATTATGTTGACCAGCATCACCAATTTAGCTGCTTTCTTTTTGGCAGCAATCATTCCTATTCCAGCATTGAGAGCGCTGTGTATAATGGTAAGATTAATAATTATGGAAATCTTTCAAGACTACAGTACTTCAATACTACAGTACTGTATATGCTGTAAAAACCACAACACTTGTAACATGTCTGACGACTCTGATCAAACCACTTGGCTAAAATTAAAACACAAAACTTTGTACTTTATTAGAAGGCAAGTTTATAAGAATATATAGTTCAAGGCTTAGCTCACTCAACACTCCCTCAGAAACACCCAATTACACTTAAAATTTCCGACCAAACCATCAGACTGAAAGCTCACTTACTTTAACTATATATATATACTTTAACCCTAGGGGAAGATTGTAAAAAGCCTGTCTAAGACAAACATGATGACATGAATATGTCTAAATCTATAACCTAAATTGAACAAATTTAGATTTTTCCAAACTATATTTAATTAAAAAGATACAGTACTGTATGTAGAAGTCGAGTGCATTCAGGGGCGTAGGAAGCGGGGGGGCACGGGGGGCACGTGCTCCCCCAAATTTTTTTAAAGGACTAAAAGTGCCCTTTTTTGTGATAAAAAGTGCCCTTTTTGTGTTGAAAAGTGCCCTTTTTTGTGAGGAAAAGTGCCCCTTTTGTAGAAGCTAATGTCGCTGTAAATACTAAATTAAAACAATGGGTGCCGTTTTTGTGTGGAAATTTACAAATTTTTTTTAAAAATTAGGTCACAAACATAAATTTCGGTATGATACGACGGAAAATTTTTCTCAGGAGAAATTTCCCCCCCCCCCCGTCGACAACATTTCCGGGAAAAATGTTTTAGGTGCCCTTTCCGATAGTAATGTGCCCCTACAAGCCGGTGCCCCCCCAAACTCCAGGTGCTTCCTACGCCCCTGACTGCATTGGATTTAAAAGTGGGTTTAAAAAATCAGAAATTTACTCGTTGCGATATTTTTGTTCTTATCTAATCCATCAGGATGGATGGTATAAGGGAAATTTTACCCAATCTGATATTACCGGAAGGATGTAAAATAGTAATTATTATTAGTCAATCAGCTTCAATTAATAGTTTATCCATTCTTAATAATAATCACTAATCGTTCATGTTATGTAATCCACTTTTACTTTTTCATGTTATGTAATCCACTTTTTATTTTTTCTCTGCAGGCTGGTGTTATAATTATCTTCAATTTTTTCTCCATTGTCCTCATCTACCCAGCAATTATCGGGATTGACGTGAAAAGACGTGAAGATCAGCGTTATGACATATTTTGTTGTGTGCGAAGGTAAAGTATGTTAGCATTTATTATCAAGACCCTGACCCTCTTTCAGGACCGAGTCAGCGGTCTACAGTACAGTAGATACCCGAAATTTCGAGTTCGAATCCCGCTCGACACAACGAATTTTTTGTTGTTCTCTACAGTTTCAGAGTAAATATGAAACTATACTGCAGTTTTTCATAGCAAACAGGATGACCATATGAAAATTCATCAATATACAATGAAAATAGATTGACGTATAACTATTTAAAATATAACAATAATTTTGGGTAGTAAAACTAAAATAGTAGTTTTTTGATAATATTTTTGCAGGGACAGCAGCACTAATGTGAGACATCTCAGACCAGGAACAATTTCCTCAATGACGACCTACAACCAAACCTCTTCAGATGATGATTCAACATTACATCAAATATCGTCATGCGCAAACGTTTCTTTTGGTCAATGTGACGCATTCACGTTGCCAGGCGTGGCTCTCAAAGCTTCAGCTAATTGCAACATAAATGACTCAATATGTAATAGTATGCTTGGAGGAGATATCAGATCTTGGCCTGGAATGGGGAATATTGTTGTATCTGTCTCATCAAGTGGACAGAACATTGACGGAGACTCATCACAGAATGCTAACGCTAATGTAAATGCAAGCTATGGACGAGGTCGTACTCTGGATATAAGTGCATCTAGTAGTGCAAGCAGTGGTACTCGTACTAACAGCAGAAGAATTAGAGATTTCTCATCCATGATAAACCGCGGTTGTACTAGTGGACCATCCAACCAGGATAACAAACAAACTAAGAACGCACAAAGTTCAGCGAAAATAGCATTGAACCCTAACAGAGTAAGCCCCAGTTGTCAAAGCAGAGACCCACAGATGGGTGGAATGCATGTCTCAGCTAACGCTACGGTGGATTCCACTCAGGGAGAGCCATCTTGCTCATCTAACGCAGAAGTTATTCTTAGACCAGAAAAAGTACGAAATTCTCGACAACGCAGCATGGCATGGCAGAGAACGATGAATTCAAAGCTTGTCAAAAATATAACGCGCCTTAGTTTAGGACATTTGACTAAAACATACTACGCACCGTTGTTGCAAAAGACAGCCGCCAAGGTACGTTATGTAATATATGTTACAGTGCATTGCATTACATCGCATTGTATTATATCGTATTACATTGTACTGCATTGCATTGTATTATATTGTATTATTGTAATTACCATTTAAAGTACTATTTAAAACATGAGCAGCAGTGTTTTCCGAGTATCTTTAGGTCTGATAACTGAAACACGCACTGCGAATGTTTTAAATTGCTTCAAAAACGATCAATCTAGTAAGTTCATTGGCGAAGTAATTTTCAGAAAATACGTTGTGTAAGTCGAGAAAATCAAAGTTAGGGACTAAAGTCTAGACATAAAGTAACTGCTAGGGTGGGCTGGAGGTATATCACAAATTTTGCCATTAAGTTTGGTGACCCATCTTAGGATGTAGATAAAAATTTCAAAGCCCATCGAATCTTACCAAATTTATTTCATGACCCACCCCCACCTAATTTAAATTGGGAAAATACACTTTTATAATAAAAAAAAACTTGCAGGTATGAACATTGTAAATATACACCGGCACTGTATTGACATACATACTGTAATTCCATCAAGCTTGCACTGACCAACACACATTCATCACCAATTACGATAGTGAGCTGCTCTTCAGTTGGTTGTATTTGCTGTGATTTGATCACTTGTATAAAACAAAGTACTGGCTTCAATAGCATCGTTTGCATTTGATAATTTGGATAGTTTTGTTTACTTTTATTATTAATATCTTTATTTTTTGGAGTAGACATAGGTTTTTGTTTGGTGGCCCAACCGTGGACATACAAAAAAATTGGCGGCCCATCGAAACTGCCGAAAGATTTTCCATGGCCCATCCCAAATCACTCCAGCCCACCCTAGTAGTTACTTTATGACCGGTCCCTTAAAGTTTATGTAAATCAAGGGAAATCTCTCAGTATCACACATAAAGAGACGACACGCTTATGATTTTTCTTCGTGTTTTCCTCATGAATTTATTGACGAGTTGTTGAAGCTGAGACTGAGTTAAAATGTTCTAAATGGGGCATTTTGCTCAATAGAACAGAATTTCGAAAGGTTTTTGTCGATGGAAATTTCAAGGAAAATTACAATATGTAGCCTACGTATTTTAGATCTTACCGTACAAAACCTTATTTTATTGCGACGACTATTGTATATATAGTTTACAATAGCATGTTTTTCTTTCTATTTTCCTACAGGTTGTGATTCTCTTTCTTTTTGCCATAATTTTCTCAATCTCCATCTATGGCTGTATTCAAGTCAAAGATGGTGTTGACGTCACTGACGTTGTGCCAAAAGGAACAAAATTAGCGGAGTTCCTCGAAGCAAGAAATGAATACTTTTCTTTTTATGATATCTTTATCATTACAAAAGATGATTTTGATTATGCAAACAAGCAAGACGAACTGTATCGACTGCACCAGGCCTTCTCAAAGGTACATAAGTACAATATAGAAAGCTAAAAACAATTTTGTTGCTGTGGTTGGTGTCTTAACTACCTAGAAATTTAGTTAAAGATCAGGATACTTGCGAAGGGCTATAGCTCAAAGTGTGTTTAATCTTTTTCAGGTAGTTTAGACACAAACCATGTAACCTACATACAAACCTTTATGTTTTCAGACATGGATAAGATATTTTACAAACCTACTGTAAAAAAAAGATATGTATAATGTAAGTTAAATATCCAGTTACTCATTTTTGGTTCTGCATTTTACTTTTTGTTCAGGTTGATTATATTGTAAAGGACAAAGACGGGAATCTTCCTAAATTCTGGTTACATTATTTCAAAGACTGGCTTGAAGGTAGGCGATTCAGCATTGAGAATTTGTGAAATCATGAGTAATTAATGAGATTTCAAAGATTAGTTCATACAGTACAAAATAAATGAATGAATGGTCATACAAAATAAATTAATTAAGAAAAGTTGTGGTTGTAATATTTCTGTTACAACCCCGAGTGCACTTGTTACTAGTTTCCATATGAATTCATTAATTTCACAAGTTGTCTACAACGTCCACGCATAGTCTATCAAGATATATATGATGGTTTGGAAACCGAACAGAAGTCATTGTATTATGTTTTTGTCTGAGTTTATTTGCGCACGGTCATGGTGATTGAGCTCATTGTATTTTCGTATAATGAAGTAATCGTCCAATAGGAATAGCTGAGATGAAATGTGCAACTACGATGAATAATATTTAATGAAGTTGAGGCAAAGCGGGACTTGTGCATGGCGAGGTACAGTTGAGTTCAACATCAAACAAAGTTCTTTTATTTTTGTGGCTTTGAAGTTTGCCGGGTTTCCAGACCGTACGATCTTATCTTGACAAATTATGGTCCACGCCACCTGCTGTTTGTTGAGCAAACAAAGCAAGGAAAATGGATCCTATTGTATTTACAAGTCCAGAAGGCGGAATACTTCGGATTGACAGGGATGCAATTATCTGAAATGTACAAGGAGAACTATATTTTTTAGGTAGCTGCATCCTTATCAATCCGACGTTTTCTCATTATCTCAGTATACACTGGCACAGACCGTTTAGCCTGCGAACAAGCTCTCAAGTTCAGCTTGAGAGCCTGTTCACAGGCTACAGACCGTTCAAAAGATGTACAAGTCCAAATTTCCCAAATTTACAAAAGCATGACTGATTTGATTGCAAATAATCCGTTCTTGGAATATAGGTTTACAGAAAGCATTCGACAATGATATGAAGAAGGGAGCTATCACGTTAAATAAAAGGGTAGGCCCAAAAGCGTCTACTGCTGGAAAATTGGCTTACAAACTTCTCATGGGTACTGGACGGCCAAATGAAACGGCACAGGTAGGCTATGCCCATAACTTTACTGTGCTAAATTAACTTAAATAGATATGATTCAAATCTAAGGTATAAGTAATCAGATACAACAACTAGCCACAGAAGTGCAAGACGAATTTCAGAACCTTATACTGTATAGCGCATATCTAACTGGTCAGTTTTGCCATTTTTAGCAACAGAATATTTGGTTGTAACGAGGTGTCTTCTAACCATGCATATTTTACATTTCATGTTTAGTTGCGAACACAAAAACTGGTCAATAAAGACGGGATAATTAATCGACGTGGGTTTAATGGTTTCCTCAGAGCATGGTATCGTAAGGATCCGTTGGGCTACGAGAGTTCAATGGTAAGCCCAATATGCATGTTACTTCAATTTTTATTAGTTAATTCCTGTATTTCTTTGTTTGTATTTATCTAAGCCTAATGTCAAAAATTCCAAACGTTTTTCTCAAAAAAATCTTGTTTTCCATGTTGCAACTATACCAAAAAAAATTGAAATGAATGGAGAGGAAAAGATATCAAAATGTTATTTTTTTAATTAAAATATTTGTTGCTTACTGTTAGGTTAAAATCAACCCAACTCCAGATGAGTGGACGTATCTTGATGAAAAAGAATATGGTACGTGCAAATTTGGAATATTTTTTACAGTTTTTTGGCATTACAACATGTTATTTCGTTGTTATGTAAGTATGTAACTTTGAAAAAAAAAGATGAAGGCACAAGATGAAAAGAGTAACTTGTCTAAGTTGTCTTACAATAGTTACTCTTTGATACGGTGTATGAAATACAGCCAGTTTCTTGCATATTTATCTATCAGACTATCATCTACACAGAGTACTAATTTGGGTACATGTTTTCCTTGCCAGTTCGTCCAACTGGACAGAATATCAAATACGCTCAAATTCCTTTCTACATCAATGGCCTCAAAGAAACTGCGGACTACATCAACGTGATCAAGGTATATTGAATGTGATAGGAGGATGCGTGCATATACACCATGAGGGTATTGCAGACTTTGCGATATACTGTATTTCAGGCTGTTCAGTCCGAAATTTTGGCTTGCCAATCAAATGTTTAGTACATTGTCCACTGGGGATAAGGAAGAGATTAATAGTACTTTCTGCGGGCTACTGTACATGACGTAACTACCTGAAAAATAGAACAAACTTTGTACTGTAGCAAGTAACTTTCTAGCCTGCCAACATGCTCCATTCTATATTGCGGTGGCTCGCAGGTCAGTAACTTCCCGACGTAGATCATCTTTGTTCTTCTTTTTCACACATCTCGCTACCTTACACTGGCGCCCAACGTTAAGGAATTTGCCTTACTGCAGCTAATTTGCGCGATAGATAGCGAAGAAACGCTTGAAATGTTTGAGGTGACAAGTAACGTAACAAATCAACTGAAAGGCTGGTATTTAAACGATGACGTAAATTTTTATTCATTTAGCAAGTGCGCGAGATTTGTGACAAGTTCACCGACGAAGGACTAACCAACTACCCTCGTGGTGTTCCCTTCACGTTTTGGGAACAATATATCTGGCTTCGAAAACAATTGTTGATTACAGTAATTGTTGTTTTGGTCGCGAGTTTTCTCATCATTTCAGCAATACTTGTGAATATCTGGGCGGGAACTATAATGGTGAGTTCATTCACTTTCACCATGATGAGTACGTTTCGGTAAGCATTACAGAGCAGCAGATCGTGATCAACTTCACAACGGTTGACACAAAAGCAAGGGAAATTATTTAATTTAGAAATTCCACATAGACAACTTAGTCACACACAGTCAGAACGTTCTAGCTCATTTAATGCCATGGGACATCTATACATGAAACGATTACATTATTTCTGACCGTTTTTGGTCTTTCAAAGACACGGTATATTAATTTTAAAGTCAGTTGGATATAGATTAAGTTGAATATACCAACGCACATATAAACGCTTGGTCATGGTGAGATAATAAGTCAAAACGCAGTGAGAAATCTGACTAGAAAAACAAAGCATAAATTCCTCCAGTTGATGTAATTAGTCAACTAGTAATCTTCATGCCACAGAACGCCGAAATTTCAAATTTCGTTATCATGATATGGACGTAAAAAAGTCATGCACGTACTTTTCCAATTCGAAAGTTCTTTTTTCGAGGCAAAAGTTTGGTACGGTTTGTGTTTTCATTCTCTTGGATTAGAAAAATGATTATCTAGCCATTAGATTTCCCATCATGTGTATTTGAAATGCTTTAATTATGAGGTTAATAGCGTCGTTCTAAATGAAATTGTGTTTTAATGCTTGCACAGGTTGTGATTCTGGCAATGGCTACTGTTGAGTTGTTTGGTTTCCTGGGTCTATCTGGCATCAAACTCAGCGCTATCCCAGCAGTCACTCTGATCTTCTCCGTGGCCGTTGGGGTGGAATTCACAGTACATCTTTGCATGGTAAGCTTTTACACTCTCTTTGCCTGTGGTGAGATTTCAATGTACAATTTTCCTCGTTTATTTAACACTCTTAAACCAATTTGGTCAAATTCCATTTGGCATGGGTAAAATACCATCATTACTGGTTTAATAATCTTATTCAATCAACCAGCAACGCGAGAGTAGTACATTTCGCTACATTTATTCAAATCTAGAGGTTAAATTGAAATGGAAATGGACCAGGATGGTTTAATAGAGATTTGGTGTAATAATCTTTGATAATGCCTTACAGTTATGTTATAATGCAAATTAAAACGTTTGCGCAATTCCTCGTGAACGTATTGTGTTGCTTGGGTAACCAAGTTGAATATTTACTTATGTTTGATAATACTTGAATTACAAGAGATTCCTCACACCTACTTCGCTTTGAGGTTTGCCGCGCATTCATACAAGATTTAAGCTGGGTATTAGCACCCCCCTGCTTTTTCATCGTTTATATTTTGTGGTGTGAATACACGAATAACAGTTACTAGAAGACTAAAGCCCATTCCACTAGGCAAATTTTGTTCGCGCGAACAGTAGAAAAGAAGGAACTTTTTCACGGCGAAGTTTTTCGCTGTCCAATCACATTGCCAAGATTTGTTTTTCGCTTCGCGCGAACAAATTCGCCTAGTGGAAAATGGGCTTAAGCAAAATGACAAGGCATTTTCCCAAATAGCTTACTTGCTCATGATCAGATATGATAAATGGTAAAATGGCCAATGTTCGATTAAAGTTGGAACCGTTCGTTTGTTCATTTCCTTGCACTTTTATATTCGGACTTAGTTGTAGAATATCAAAATTAATATTTTAATTCAACAAAAGAAACTAAAATGGAATCCAAAGTGTAAATGAACCATTAAAATACTGCACGATCTTAAAAACAATACACAGCTACAATAAGTGCGATAGTTTTGGGTTTTTCGTGAGCTTATTATGAAACGAATGCTGTTCTGCTGTTATAAATTGCAAGAATACTTAGATAGGAATAGAAAAAGATCTACATCTACACAGTATTGATAGCAATGACAGAAATAGGAATTGTTCTTGTCAAAAAACATTTATCCCAACTGTTAAGTGCATGATGGTATTGCCAGAATTTAACGCCAATACTGCCTTGTTGATTACACTTTATGTCCTTGAAATTCTTCACTCAGCTTTCCTGTCACAGGAAATGTTCATCGTGCATGTTTTCCCTCGAGTGTTTTTACCGAATACTAGGATTAATAAATACACAAGAGCTATTCTTAGCACCAAGAGAGATCAAATACGATTAGTGCGCGTGTAATCCTGTCAGGGCCCCACTGTGCACTTGTAATCGGAGCCATTTGATGAAAACTAGACAGAATTAAAGCTAATGCCGCATTTTGTACGCATTTATATTTCACTGTTTTGTAAAAAACAATTGACCACTCCATGTGCTAACAATATGGTATATCACCCGTTTTGGTACGGCTCATTGCACAAGTATTGTGTAATATTCGCAGCATACTCGACCTGTTTTCCACATGGGGACTAAAGAAACAACCCACTGAGAGATTATGGTTTTATTTTAATGGAAAATCCGCATGTTAGAAACCGCAAGAAAGGTTGCTTAATCTGACGTTCAAATGAACTTCATGTAGTGTAAATAGCTTACGTTGCATTTGCGCGCGCCTTTTCCTCTTAATTAACATAATTTGCGCAGTCATGTAATGTAATGACATTCCTGTATATTGAGAAGAGAAGATCTTGACTGTTATACTGGGTTTCTTCATATTTTTCTTGACCATGGGAGTAATGAAGGAAAACACGCAGTTTAATCCAATCATGAATCTAACGTCCTGTGGTTATGCCACTACTCATGACCTTTTTACATTCGATTGTAATAAGTTCTGCGATCACATGTTGTTGATTTACCCGCAGTCGAAATAACTGCACGATGCTTACGTTTGTCTTGCGAGCTTCAAGATTTCTAAATATGGTCTCTGAAAATGAGCTGAACCCGATGGGGTAGCGTTTTTGAAAATAACGCAACAAAATTTCAATGCGTTGTTTTCGTTAGGTCCGAGTTCTTTGTTATGATAAAGGTATTGGCAATCACATGAGTTGCGAATTTGAAAGATGAAAGGTCATGAAACGTACAAGGCTAATCCCAAATTATGTGTGGTCGTTGAATGATAAGTTTAAGGAAACAGCTTTGAGAGTTTTAATACACTTGACTTACCTTGGAGATCCAGAAATATTTGGAAAAATAGTTGGAAAAACACGTATTAGAAGATCACTTGAAATTAAAATTAAACAGTTGTCGTGCTTGTGCGACGCTAAGCGAAAAACAAATCCATGTTAGTTGCATGACTTGCATCATTGTTATTTTTAAAATTTGGTTACTAACTTAATATGAACCGTTGTCTGACATTGCCAGTAACCATGTATAATTTTGGAAATTAACAGTTCGTTGCGTTATATAAAAGTACCTATATAAATTATGAAAATAGTAATTTTCTGAAGAGTCACATTTGCCTATAGAGAGCCATTGATACTTGGAGTACCAATTTTTATACATAAAATAGGAATAGAGAACTTCCTGGCTAGCCTTCTATATGCTTTGCGTACCTATGTTTTAACGCGAATGTTTTAAATTAAAAACCAATTACTACAAATTACTACATACTACATTTTACATTTTTTACAAGTTAAATGTCAAAATTTAAAATACCAGCAGATTCTTGTGTATTAGACATGTTTGGGAGAAAATATATGAAATGATAAGCAGATAAAAATATCCTGCTCTTAAAACGTATCAAAATGAGCAAATTGACGAGTACGTAGAATATCGCCGAATAAATAAGATTCCCTGTTTCATGAAACATTTTGAAAGTGTGTAAAACTGGATACAGAAAAACTCTGTAAAACCTGAACGAACAGTGTTAACATAAAAAATCCTGTGAACATTTCTAATCTTGTTTGAAATTGTTTATTTAATCATCACGGGGCAAATTGATGTCTGTTTTCGCTGTTCCAATGTTCGAGGGCATGCTTGCGAAGACCAAATGATTTTTGGGATGGAAAGGCAGGATTTTGCATTTACATGAACTGTATGCGCAGTGAAGCAAAAAGACATCTGTCAAGTTTGTGGTTGCGTTAGAGACGCAATATACTGTGGAAACGCAAGCCTGCGTAGAGCATGGCTACCACGACTCTTACGACTCTTAACGGTAAAAATATTCAAATTCATATATTCATAAGCATATCTTTTGTCTCTTGCAGGTATTTGTCGCATCAGTTGGAACAAGAAATGACAGAATACGACAGGCCTTGGAATCCGTTCTTTCGCCAGTTGTTGATGGTGCTGTATCAACCATCTTGGGTGTCATCATGTTGGCTGGTTCTGAGTTTGATTTTGTTGTAAAGTAAGTAGTTGTGTTAAAATAGTCAATCGAGTAATTAATCGATTAATGAATCATTCAAGTTAAAAATGTACTCAATTCATCTTTATTCATTGAATCAATAAATTAATCATTCAATTAATTAAATATTCAGTCAATGTAAAATCTTTCATTCAATCAATAAATCAATCGATTAATTACTACGTTAATTAATCTGTCAATTAAATATTCAATCAAATAATCATTCAATTGATGATTTAGTAGTTAATCAATCATTCAATCGTATCAATGGATCAATTATTGAATTAATTGTACATTAATTACTAAATTAATAAATTAATCATTCAATCAATTATAATAAATCAATCCATTTATTATACTAAATAAATAATTTAATCACTCAGTCAATCAATGTTCACTTTGGTTGTTAACCTTTTCATAACATCACCTTTCTAGATACTTTTTCCACGTATTGGCAGCTATGATTGTGATTGGCTTCCTCAACGGCATTGTTCTTCTGCCTGTCATTCTTTCACTAATAGGACCCAACCCTGAGGTAGGGAAATAATTTAATGTACAATTTATTGGCAAATGAGAAGAGCAAGAACCGAGTGGGCACGCTTTTTTAAAAAGGTTTCGATGTTTTTGACAGTTTTCGTGAATTGTGATCAGAATGGTGTAATTTAGAATTATTTTATTAGTAATGTATTACCATTTATCTCAGTACAAAATGGGTTTTATACAACCGACCACAGCAGTTTGCGAAAGCTTATCTGAATTAAGCCAAATCTTGAAAGTCCTGTTTTTTTATTGCTTATACTTATGCTATATTTTCTTGCAATAGGTTGTTCCATTACAGGATCTGAACTCGACGCCATGTACGAGATCATGGTTTGGTCTGACAACGTTTGATCGCAATACGTGCAGTTCTGTATCAAACTTAACTAACGATGCCCAACAATACCACTCACGAGCACAACAAGATGATACGATAGAGACAGAGGATGTCCAACTGGAAACTATGGAGCAATTTGACTCAGAAACTCGGAAGTTCAAACGAGATACTTGTAACGAGCAATTTGACTCACGAATTCCAAAACCCAAGACAGGGGTGACACCAAAACAAATGTATGGCAAAACTCTTCCTTCTCTAATTCAGAATACAAAGCCTGATGTAAGAGATCGACCTCAGAATACCTCAAACATACGAAATTCTCACGGTATTGCGGAGGTTACTGCAACAGCTACAGTAACTGTGAAAGTGCCTATTGAACTAAAGCAAGGGAGACTACAAGAAAGCACCAGTAATACAGCAATAGTACCTCGTTATAATACGCAAAACTCTGATATGGAAGTTGTGGATCTTGAAGACGAGTTTGTCTAAAGAAGTTTGGCTTTAAACTTTTTTGGCTTTAAACTTTCAATTGGTACTGACTGTGTATGATCATATCATTGAGATAAAAAACCCGATATAAGTGTAGAGTGCCCAATGACGTCACTGATGCAACCACTGATCTATATATTCTATGTGCATGGCATGTCTAAATGAGATTTTTGTGATATCCAGAAATATCAAATCTTTGCACAAAAAACATTCAAACGTCGTTCGTCCACTTCCTATAACATTGCATGCTGCGGGCTCAACCTACACATAACACAGATTATCTGCTAGCAGGTAACTGTGTATCTGTAGGTTGCGTGATTTCTATATTTATATGTAAGCTATTGGCCAATCAGAAGACACGTAGCTAAGACTCAAACTATTGATTTGTTTGTGCATGTGGAAAACAGTTTTTTATTTATTTGGCGGCAAACTTTTCGAACCGTAAGCCTGGATCTTATTTGTTTTGATGATAATCTGATATATATATATTCATTTGCTCTATCGTTATGATATTGAGCACTCTTTGCGTTTCGTGTACACAAACCTACTCGTATATATATATATATATATATATATATATATATATATATATATATATATATATATATATATATATATATATATATATATATATATATATATATATATATATATATATATATATATATAATATATATATATATATATAATATATATGTATAATATATATGTAAATATAAATCAGTGGTTTCATCACATTTATAAGTATAGAGTTTTGTTCGAGAGTGATCCACATATATATTTATATCAATGATAGGAACGATTTTAGCTCTAAAGAATAGGTATAGGGATATTTATTTTGTAAAAAAAAAGCAAGTAGAAAATAAGATGTTTATAACCTCAAAAATATAACGTTGAGTAAAAGATCAGAATGATCGGATATACATAGTAATAATCAAGTTGGTTAATATACATAAACTGTTAGTAAAGCATTAAAGCTGTTTGCTTTTTACATATTTTTCAAAAACTTCACACAGATAAGGGTAATACAATAATACAATAGAAATAAGACACAAAGTATTTAAGATTATCCGCACTGATTCAAAATGACCAAGATGACTATATTGCATGCTATATAGCAATTTCGAAATGTAAAGTGGAAGCACAAAAGTAATATAGCTATTAAGCCTATTATAATCCTATTAATACTTATTATGTCTGCGAGTAGAACATTAGTACACAGGTTTCATACGTAATATTCTGTATTTATTCCACCACTTTGCCTCAGTTGTATGAGGTTTTGTTGTATCACATATATATTAAAGTTATTAAGAGAGCACAGTTAATAATAAAACCAAAACATTTACTTATATTGTTGTATTCGTTTATAATTAATCACTGACACTGATTTAGAATCTCCTTAATCATGGCAATGCTCAACCTGATGTTGCTCTGCACGGATATTATGGCCGACTGTTTTGTTTCAGTTATTCGAATAATTGCCCCCTCAGGCCAACCTCGTACGCCCTCTTGGGGAGAAAAGACCCTGGTTACGCGATTTTAGCAGATCACGTGGCCAGCGTCTACCAGGATTTTTTCTCCCCAGGAGGAAAGACCTTGGATACGAGGTTGACCTCATGTACCTCAGGCCTCATTATAGCCTGCGGTTTCTCATATACATTATAGCTGGCGGTTTCTAGCATCATTATCGCCAAGGAATTTCCGCATATCAATGTGTATTGGGTAACGAATGTGCACATAACATTTTTGGCATGTATTCTGACTTACGAAATCATTAGTGTCCGGTCCTGTCCGACCAAAACGTAGGTTGGTTTGATACGATGTCAAGCCAACTTACTTTTAGCTGGCAGTTTTCATGGGGGTTGGAATTGAGTGCGCAGGCAGTGAGAAGTTTATTTGCTGGGGTCTTTTAACACGCAAGGCCGCGCCAAAATGATAATTCACAGATTTAGATCGAGGACGCGGACGTCAAAGACGACGTGAAAATGCCGTGTTGTGCCCATGTATGGATATGCCACGCCATTTTCACGTCTTCTTTGACGTCCACGTCCTCGGCTAAATCTGTATAATGACGTCATAATACGTATCAAAATTTGCTTTGCTGATAAATGGCTGCAGAATAAAACTATAGAAGATGCCATATAATAGTTTTGTTTGTGGAAACACCACGTAAATTTACGGTTGCAGTAATAAATTTACGTGGTGTTTCCACAAACAAAAGTATTATATGTTTTATCGCCATGCAAACATACAAAGAACTTAGAAGATGTCATGTTCACATCATCAATATTAAGTACAACAATTCCTCACTGACGACTATATTGAAGTCATTAAATCATCAGGATGAACCACGTACACTCAACAAGATGTGATCGCCTCAATTTCATCACGGGTTGTTACAGTCAAGGTTGTTATTTAAAACTTGTGATTGATGTCAACAAACCGGTTGCACACGATATTGGCTGGCAGTGTATCAGTGATGTTTTCGGATGCCCTACAATAGCCCAAGCCACAATGGTCGATGCCGGAAATTCTTCACACAAATTTGATTAAACTAAAAGGAAGTGTCCTTTAGTTTCCAGTTTGTTGACTGTTTCGCTCAACAAAACTAGCGTTGTTATAGTTTAACCAAATTTGAGCGAAGGATTTCAAACTAGAGACCGATCATCATTCTGGTACCCTGGATCAGGGGTTTTCCTGTTTCGCTGAAATTGTAGCCTGCAATGTGTTAAAACTCGCCTGACTCCAGAAACCCTCCGCACCCAGGGTACACTTTGGACGAATTTGGCAAAGAAATGAAAGACAATTCATCCATCTGACGGCAATCTATCTGTGTATAAACATGGCAAGCAGTAGCCTGCTGGCGTTCCAGACAGCCTACTTGCGAGTAGGAAAACCCTAAAAAGGGGCGAATATGTGCAGGCGTGTGTAGTTCATCCTGACGGGTGATCTGCATGTTCACTGCGGCATAAATCATTATTTCTAGGGAGCTACTGTACCATGTACAATCTCATTATTGGTAATTGTTTATTCATTATTGCATTATTGCAAAATATTTATGTAAAAGTTTCATTATCTATTGCATATTATTTCTTCCCTGTATATTATCTTCTAAGAACCAAATTCCTCTACGCTAGGGTCGATCTTTTTAAATTCATATGCACCACGACCGTCCAGGTAGAGTACAAACTGTAGGGAGAAAAATAAGTAGAAACTATATTTGTAGGAATGACTCTAAAGGCCCACACAGACCGGACGCGATTCGGCAACGCGACGCGAATTTTCAGTTTTCAAAAACAAAATAAAACCGTCAACGGATAAAAATTTTACAAGATATGCAGACCAAATAGCTAAAATTGCTTAAGTGGTCCCGAATTTTGAAAAACAATGAAAAATGTTAAAGTTAAATGTCATTGAAAACTGAAAATTCGCGTCGCGTTGCCAAATCGCGTCCGGTCTGTATGGGCTAAAGCACGAATGTACCATTCAATTGCGTAGCAGGTGAGAAGGTAAGAGGGGGAAGGTAAAGTTGCCTGCATCAGGGTCTGCGGAAGCGGGGGGTGTGGGGCTAGCCGCCCCCTTCAATAATCTACTTATCCGTAACAGTTTGTTGTTACATTGTCATTGATATTGTGTATAGCTTGTGATTACATACAGAGCAAACGTTGTTCCAAACCTGGGGGGATGCAGAAGTTGTAAAAAGTTATAAAGTGCATTACAAAATATTGAATTCGCTTGCTGTGCTGGTTAAGAGAGGGGTGAATAGCGAAAACGCAAGCGATGTAATGAGGAAAACACTTTTTATTGTTGAGTATAAGTATATATACAGATATAAAATTTAGACGGATTTAAATTTTTCCCGTGCGTATAACTGCATGGTATAAGCACGGAAGATGTGTTTAGATGTGAGTGATTAAACTTAACCATGAACCACTGATAGCAGTTTTATCTGGCGCCAACAATATATCGCCGGGAAATATTTCATTACACACTTATACAGATAAAATAATTAGCCTTTAAAATATGTTTTTCTTACGGATTACTCTGAACGTATGTAAATATACCACCGGTGTTGCAAGATCAGATATTTGGAGACCTTAGGCAATTCCGTAAAACTGTCACGGTGTTCTTACTCAAAACGATTTAAGAGAAGGACCTTTCATTCGAAATGTCAACGTTTCTTAATCTTTTTCAGGCAGTTCCGAGCAAAGCCCCGACATTTAATACCGCATTATTTAATTTTCTCTGTCCATTGTCACAGTGAAAATCTAAATGACGTTCAGCCGGCTTGGGTTTATATAGATTTCTTGTGGGTGGTAAGTGCCGGACGTGAGGTCCGTGAGAGTATCAAGCTAAAGAGGCGAATTAAAATATTCTGTATTATGAAAAGCTTCAAGTCTCCTTTGCCTCGATGAGGTCTAAAATAGTATTGATTAGGCTCGGAAGGTTTTCTATTAAGATGCACATTAAAATACTGAATTAGGCTAGGAAGGTTTTCTAAGATCCACATAATATTGTGACTATTATATGAAAAATATTGAGAATGCTGTAGATAGCAAAAGACTGAAAAATCCACTAAATTGAATGATTGAATTCATGTTAAGAAATTAAAACGCCGCCCTGAACGCTTATTATGCAGTTGAAATAATTGCATGCATGCATATTAACAGAATAGTTTGAGTTTAAAGGCCCCGAAATACTATTGCGTATCGTACTAGCGTTTGCCAGCGTATATATGAAAAATATCACTCATACGCCGGAAAACGCTGACATACGCTAGGGGTACGTTAAGCATAGGTTGTATACTGTACGTTTCAAGCACGGTCGCATACGGTGGCATACGGCGAGGCAGAAACGTTTTTTAAGCGTGCTTAAATTTTTTGTGCGTATTCGGACGTATGGTTTATACAATAAGCATACTCGATACCATAGGCACACGCTGAATACGCTAGAGTACGCCAGATGTACGGTACTGATACGCTGGCAATTTCAAAGGATTTTTATGCGTATTATTGCCTTAGCGGAGAATAAGAAAGAGAATGGCCTCAAAGATATAACGGATGCACTACTAATTGCAGCAATTTTCGGCTTACCAATTTCGTACAAAAATTCCTACCAATGCAGTACGCCTGCAAGTGCATTTTCTCAGCACAATTGGTATGCACAATGTCTGCATGCATGTCACTAAACAATTTGGCTTGTCTGAGCTTGGATTTGTCAAAACCTTAAACAAGGCAGCCTACTCATATCGTTTGTTTTAATTTCAGATAAATCATAAAATCTATTTTACAGCGAAAAACTATTGGAATTATATATGCTTTAAAATTTTGTAAAATACCAAAATGTTGACGTCATAGTTACAACACGCCAAACGTATCGTTAAATTTGCTTGATTTTTAAATTTGAATACTTGGTTTTGGGATTTTTTAGGGGATGTCGAGGATTTGGATAGCGATTAATGCAACTTACTGAAATTTTACAGATGTTTTGGATTTTTTGTCTTGGAGAGGGCAAGAATTAGAAGTTTTTTCAAGCCTTCAGACACGTCGCATTTCCTAATCCTTTTAATTCCCGCCGTACCGATAACTGAAATGAAATCTGATGGTGAACTGAATATTTTACTCTTGAGATGATTTTACCTGACCTTGCACGAGCTCGTTGTCTAAAACAAGACTAAAAGTACAGCAACAGCTAAAAAATTGTGCGAATTTTCTTGATATTCTTACCTCATGATGTTTCCAAAGTGACTTCCTGTGCGAAACTGTGAATAACGTTATACCAATCTACAAACATACATCATTTGAGCACTCAGACTTTTACTCTTGTAGGTAATATACCGTCAATCCTTTATAAAGCACCCCAGTGAGGGATTATACTTCAGGCATGTTTAGTGAAAGGGTGGGCTTATCGGAGAGGGGGAGCTCAGGATTGATTTCAAATAACGCGAACAGGCGGTGGTCATGTTGTCTGATCAGACATGTTTTTTCTCGGTCACGACCCATTTTTGGTCGGTCAAATACAGTCTAGTATATTGCCATAAATAAAGCCGTGTATTAGTCACTATTAGGCTCTGACTTTTAATTACAGGATGGTTGTGTTTGTACACAAATCTCTACTACATCTATTTACATATTATTACAAATGGTATTTTATAAAACTAACAATGAAAACTAATCAATTTTGAGCAATTCTATATATTAAAACTAACAATGAAAACTAATATCAATTTTGAGCAATTCTATATATTTTATATGAAAGCACACAAATTGATCAGACAACATGGCCGGTGATCCCAGAATTTATTCCGTCAATACTCAATTCTGACAGGACAATGTCCGTTCCCGGCAGTTATTTCAAATCAGAGAGGCTTATTGATTTAGGTGTAACATGAAACACACATGTTATTTGTGAAGGGGGCTTAATAAAGAGGTGGGAAGAGATTATTATAGAAGGATGGGAATTGATGGTTATGTATGCTGGTGATACGAATGATAATACGTACCTCACGGCAATGACTGTAGATAAATCCTTCAACATCTACACTAACGGCACTTGTACATTCATCCAATATCGCAAACTGAGGACGGTGATAAAATAAGCGAGCCATCTATGATAAACAGATTAATTAAGGTCATTTTATTACTTCGTTACAAAGATTAGCACAAATGCTACTAAAGATGAAATAGACAGAAGAAAACATACTGCAATTCTTTGTTTCTCTCCACCACTTAGAACATCCATCCAATCCTGTTGAGAAATTAAATCGTAAGTAACTATGCATGTAGCTATCAGGGGACGGTTGTATAAAACTCTTTACTACTTCTTAACCACTATTTTGTAGTTATTTACTATTAGTATACAGTAGTTATTTACTAAACCGCAGTGTTGTAACGAGTCACCTATAGGTCGAGTCACGAGTCGAGACGAGTCACTCAAAGGTCGAGTCACGTGTCGAGTCGAGTCATTTCAGTTTCTGATCGAGTCGAGTCAGTGGCTTCACCCGAGTCGAGTCGAGTCAGCAGTTTCACTTGAGTCAAGTCGAGTCATTGGTTTAAGTCGACTCGAGTCAATAGCTAGACTTA